AAATTATTATTATATCATTATATCATCTGCGGGCGATAAAAATATTATTGTCCGACGCATTGTTCGAGCAGTAATGTTAGTATACGCGGGCGATATTATTCACTATAAAATAAGTATAGGTATTACCTGACAATGTGAATTAAAACACATATTTTGATAGTGTATCTACATAGAAATTTTATCATACGATAATATTCAACACTCAAGAGTATAATACCATCGATTTTCGTTAGAATTTCAATCAAACGCGCACCAGTATCGTACACACACATTCAGATTCTTTATCTTCCGGTATATTCGGCGGATTCGCCATAAGTATAATCCGTGTTTGCCGAGTGTGTACGTTGCAGAGGTACGCGCGTGTAATATCCCAGCGAAATCATTCACCGGACGTGTTCGCACTCGCAGTGAAAGTTGTCAAAGAAGCCGCCCGTGACCCACCACCGATGGTCATTTACCGCCACGATAACTACACGGTGGCGGTCAATATTGGCTATTCTATACGTACGTACGCGTTCCGAAGCGCGTAAACGAAAAAGAATTTTTTAAATATTTWAATATTGATCATATAGCGGGTACCTGTAGAGGTACCTAACCTAAGATACTGATAATTGYCCACAGGGGCCAGCAGAATATCTATTATAGGGGCCCGGGGGCAAGTTTTAATAACTCATAGAGTRGAACATGACGTCATAATTTGTGAATTTAACAGATTTTTTACAACGGTGACCTTTTAATTTTTTTCGTGAAAACGAAAACTATCAATTTATTACGATATTTTATAGCAATATAATATTATTAGAGAGGTTTATTATCATGTCTGATGGCTGCATACTCGATTTACAATAAATTTCCGAAATCGCCCCTCCTCACCCCCCCCCACGGACGAAAACCTAAAAAAAAAAAAATTAAGGCACCATACCATAATGTGATATAATAATAATATTAAATTTATTCATATAATAATAGAGGCGTAACGCGATAAAATACGCATAACAATATATCTATCTATATCCTCTGCAGACGATGATTCACGTCGGTATATATAGGTAATTTATTAAGTATAGTATCCATCTATGTTTACCTATGTTTTTGAAAAATGATCGAAATCGTCTTCCGACTAGGATTCGAGCCTGCAGCACTATTTGCGTATTATAAATAATGATAATTATACATGACAGGAAATTGATTCGTCGTCAATCGTGGTGCGTACCTACACTCACTGTAGCAACTATTATTAAGAATGTTGACCGAATAACTCGCGTATTTTTTTAGTTATCGATCACAAGCTTAATATATAATGTAAACCAATCACGATTGTTTATAATATTGTCTATATTTATTATATTCGTACGAGCAATGAGCATTTGCTCTTTTTTCTCTCCTTAATTTATATCGGTACCTTCTTTGTTTTTTAAGAATTGATTCTTATTGTTTTAATTATTTAATTATTTTTTAATTACTCTGGATAGCATTGCACAGTGCAGTGCACACACAGTTCGCTAGCACTCTTTCCCGACGGTCTTAAGAGTACTTATTCTTTTTTTTTTTTTAAGAATTTAACAAACTGTGCACTATAGGTATAATATAAAAAAAATTAACGGAATATGTTTACATTTTAATATTTACATTTCGTATGGTGGGAAACATCCATTTATATGGAATCTAGTACCTATAGTTGGTTGTTGTTGTTAGTTTTGGTTTGATAGATGGCTTCTACTTTCTAGGCTAATTCGAATAAAAATAAATATTTTTTTTTCACCAACGAATAATCAAAAAAATATTTAATTAAGCTAATAATAATTTAATGTTAGTAGGTATATGTGACCCAACTAAAATCATACAACTGTATCGAACACAGATAAGACGTAATGTTTATATTAAAATGTATATAACATATATAGAACTGTGAATAGAAAAATTAATAAAATAACTTGTTGTTAACCGTAAACTGTGTGTTAACGAACATTAAAAGTTCGAAATCGAATTAGAAAGTCCGATTGATTGTTTCTCGAATTTTCCGAAAACTGACATAAGACTTGTCTTATATTATAGAATTTAACTAACCTGAGTAATAAAATAAAAAAAAAATATTATTACAAATACTAATCGCTGTAATTACTTTAACAGACAATCTAACCTATTTCTGATTTCAAATAAATCACGACGTAAACAGCCGAAAAATATTAATAAAACGTTTTTCCATAGGCATTATACGTTTATAAAAATATCATAATAGAATATAACTACGTTTAGGTAATGTAATATATTTACATAAGAGTCTTGTATTTTATACCTATCTTACATTTCTAAGTATCGATATCAATTGTTGCCAAGTAAAAGGTCTCAACTCTCGAATGTCCTATATAGTTATGCCAAATCTTAGATTGTATTGTGTATCTTATGTTCAATATGAATGTTTAGATAATCAATTTAAAAAAAATCCTAATTAACATTAATTATGTTGTTTGACAAGTTTCAATTTTCATTAATAAATTCTTGGTTTGACGATTTAGTTTTATAGAGTAGTCATCGATCTTTCAMTTTCCTTACACACGATCATGTACAGTTATTGAAATATTCCAGAGTAACTTTATTACAGAGTTTTAAATGCTTAGTGCTTAGAGCAGTATAATAATATTCGAATAGGTAGGTACCAAAATAATTTCACCACGTTTATATAGTATAATTAAAAATATTAGTTGACATTTAGTTCATTCAATTTACATTATTTATAATATGAAAAAGCTTAGTTATAGATCGTTTTCTTAACTATAAGTACTATATGGTAATTGTGTTGTATATTCTATTTATTTTAATTGAATTACGCTTATCAATATTATATAAAAAAAAAAGTATATATTATTAATATTTTAGACTATTAAAAATCGTTGGTATAAATCTAAATTCTCAATATTTTAAATCAATTTCTATAATTTTTTTTTGTTTTTAAACTTCAAATGTCCCGAGAGTTAATCATATTAAAATTTACAATTTATAGTGATATGTACCATTTATACATCATTGATTTAAAATCCAGCGATTCATCTAAATAACATAATACTGCGTGAATATTATAAATAAATTAATATTCTAAAGTGCGTATCATTAGTCGTAGTTGTACCTATGTATAATGTTACAATAGATACATAAATATTTGTCACTAAAAATATATATCTAAAAATAATAAATACATAATTTTAAATCTTACAAAAAATTACGTTTCTTATCATAAATATATTTTCAAGCAATTAACCACATACAATTAATTAACATTTGATATAGTCAATCTCTATACCTGCTCATTTATGTGATTATTTGTTATATTCACTTTAAAAAAAAAAAAAAAATACGAAGTAAGTTCAATAACAATTTATAGGTAATATAATAGAAATAGATGAATGTTGTTACCTATACATAATAATAATGTGTTATTAATTCGACGTAATAATCAAAGTACCTATTTAAGCAAAATAATTATATTTTAAGTTCTATTAGGTACCTATGTCCTACACGGCTATACTCTATAGTCTATATGACACATATTTATTACACAAAGACATTATATCTTAATAAACTTAAGAGTACTTTTTAAAAAGGAGACTTTTTTATATGGTTTCTATGAATTATTACATGTCTCCATGATTTATCTTTTATTTTTCAGATATATTACAGATGTATTGTATACAATTTATAAATATCCTACTATATTATGTTCACTTTTAAATATTAAATTGCTTATATTTATGAAGAAAATAGTTATATGTATCTATTTAGTAAAAGTAAAAATAAATAGGTTGAAACTTTATCACACAAAACGTTAGAATATAAAATAAAATTAAAATAATAGGTACATATAACATACAATTTGATAAGCACTTTAGTATTATTATTATTTAAAGCTTCAACAACAAAGGTAATGATAAACTTTTACATTTAATATTCTTCGTGAATTGAAATTCAGGCCAGTGTATTTGTTTTTAGAGAAATCAAGTTTGAAATTCGCAATAAAATTACTAAAGACGGTCAAGTCACCGGTGAACCCGTAGGTTCATTAAAAATTTAATTTCATCTGTGGTTAGACATTTTCTTTCAACCACAAATTCGAGTATAGTATATTGAGATTAAGTATTTTTTGGATGAGATATCTAATCATCAGCATTAGTATATTACCTCATATTCGTACTCATCTTCTACGAGTATATAATTTCTAAAAACGCTTCTATCTTATTTCAACATATTATTTTATAAAAAAAATAAATAAAATTCAACTTCGATCATTAAAAATATAATTTTTTCAACTCATCGATATTATTAAATTATAATAATATGATCTACGATCATCATTGTTTGAAATAATAACGAATGAGTTGAGAATTAATACTTTCCATGATTTCAAAAATTTCACGAAGTATATAGACCACCTATAGGTTATTTTATTAACAAAATAGGTATATTCGTGCCGTGATCAATTTAAACAAAATTTACTACTAGTTGACATTATAACGCTAATCGATGAACCGGTTTTATGAAAATGTTAAGCTGCAGTGTCAATATAATTTATATAATAAAAAAAAATTCTTGAAATAATCATAATTTTACACATTTACAACTAAAATTTTAATCGTTTGTCCTGACAGTTTTTATATTCCGTAACAACTAAATCTGACTATTAATTCACTACAAGTATTCATATTTGTCCACGCTAATTCTCTATAGTTTATCTACTATATACGCATATATAGTTGAACAGTACCATTATCGTAAATTTTCAGTAAATAACGTAACACTTTTTCATTTAAATGCATACGACAGCAGTTTATGTCTTGTCATAAATTTACAAAATAGTCGCGTTTGTAAATAAAAAATAATAAAACGCAGATAATACTTATATTTATATTATATGTATTCATTCGTTACACACTCGACCGCTGTATAGAACATGTTAACTAGAAATTGTTTTAAAAACAGTTAAAATATAGTATATAGGTTAGGCTCACCGGTGTCCTTATGAATCCACGGTGATTGACTGTCCGATGCAGTTTCAGCAGCACCGACGATAGTTTTCAACATGAGCACATTAACTGCTACGAATAAGCACCGCATTTTGGCCATCGTCTCGCGAACGAAATATTATTCGATGTGACTACTATAATATAATATTATAGTATTATTGCTATGACGTGTCTGCAACGGCGACGTTGATGTCGTATGCCCAATACGATTTAGTGGCGAGCGAGTTACAACAATGAAATAAATAAACGTTCGGAGACAAAACGGATTTCGAAAATAATAACAATTATTGTTTTGGAATCGGGGTGTCCGTATATATTATATTGTTATCGTTTTCGGAGGGTTACAACATAATAATATAATAATATATTATTATTCACGAGTCGCGTGGAGGATTGCTGTCGTACGGGGCGCCGTGCTGCCACGATAGGTTTACCGGCATTTTTGATTTTGATTTTTCGCGCGCACACACAAATATACACACACTCACGCACACCTCTACTGAGCCACTTATTGCCGGGCAATGATGAATAATGCTTTCGGTCCGGCCCCGGAGAGTATCGTTCGCTCGCGCGCCACGACGGGGGGGTAAAGCTCCCAGACACGTCTGCGGGGGGAACCTGTTGGCTGGGCCGGGTGATGGTGGAGGTGATGTTTTTGGTAGTAGGGTGGGAGGAGGATCCATATTTTCCCGGGAGAGGGGGAACGTCGACGGATTTGTGAATGAAATTGAACGTTCGACCGGTTACGACGGGCGGAGGACTCTCTTTCTTCTCCGCGTTTCCTGCAGTGCGGTACACACTCCATGATGTCTGTCTTGCCGTTCGTCTAAGTCTCCTTCTCTCCGTCTCTCTTTCTCTCTCATTCCACATCTTTCACTCACTCACTCAATCATTCTGCTKGACTGGTTTTGCAATACACACGCGCAGTCGTATAGTKCTTTTTTTAATAGAAATTGAAATCGTTACTGGCGTGGATACGATACTTACTCGCCTCTCCTCTTCTCTATATGGCGACGATAATACTCACGCTGAACGTATAGCTAGGTATATACCCGGTATGTGGTGATAGATATGCGAATGAGTGTGTGTTGTAGGTATGTGCGTATATGAATCTGCTGTCGGCCGACTCATGACCTCTGCCTGATACTAAAATGGATATTGTTGGAAAGCAGAAACGTTTTTTTATTTTGTTTTTCAATGAATGATCCACGGCGAGCATCGTTTTTATTATATTCTATATAAAACATAGGTATAATATTATCAATAACACAATAACTGTTTTTCTATTTATAATATAAGCCATTTTCAACGTCAAAATATGTAGGTGATGTTAATAAGGTACATAACATGCGTATATTTACTATTTGATATGACGTTTTCTCGTAATCTTTACGATGCAGCTTGAATGAGTTAATAATATTATGTATGTCAGTTAACTTTTACGATAACTTTGTGTTCGTGAATTTAATACCTATATTCTAGGTAAGAAAATAATACGAGTCGCACTCTTGATGAACGTAGATATAGGTAATAGATTGCTGTTTATTTTACAACAATCTTTAAATACTACATAAAAACTCATTGACAAAATAACAAATCTCTTCACTAGAAGTGCATATTTTTTGGTGTTTGTCTCTTAAGCTAAAAAATTAATTGCATTGTTTTAAAAATAATAATTTTATGTGCTATGGACTTAAAACCTCTGTAACTTCTAATATAGTGTCAATGGACGCACCCTTCAGTCAAGCCTCCAAACCTGGTAAAAAATCTCATATTTACTTATTGTTTTGTTATGTTACAGATTGTAAATATATTTATATTATAAAATTAAAAAAAAAAACTTCTTATATGTACAAATAGGTATATATCGTATAATACATAAGTAAATTGATTTGTTTTTAATTTTAAAATTTTTGATTTGTCCGTCAATTTTGTAGTCGTCTAAATAAATTTAAAAAAAAAAAACTATTTATGAATTTATGATATTAGGACTATGATCATTTTTTATTTGATATGTTCTAGTAAGATATTTTATTTGAGAACTAAAATTCAAACAATAAATCAATTACAATTAACTTTGGATAATATGTTTTACTGTCATATTACTTTGTTCTATATTTCCCACGTACTGCAACACATACATACAGCTAGACTCTTGTAAAATTAATGATCAAAGCATATTGCAACTTACCATAATATTTTCAAATTATATTGACTAAGAAAAACCTTATTTTGAAGTACATATTTTTGACCGTCAATCATTCTGACAGTGATCAAATAAAAATGAAACCATCTATTGTCAAACTTGAAAGTTGTAGTTCAATTTATTTTATATGTAAAAAAAAAATGTAGTTATATTGAGTGTACTGAAGTATAAATTATACTCTATACTGGTCAGAGTATAATGTGTATTATAAGTACGTATATATTGAAAATATTTGACTTGAGAGGACCCTACACACATATTTGTTGTCTCCGTTTTACACGTGCGTAACATACTAACATAGCGATTTACGATTAGCAGATCACGTTCAATTCCGTTAGTTTAAAAATTAGACTCAATAATTAGAGTAAATTGACCGATTATGAATATTTATGGTAAGAACATTATCTGTGTTTATATGTAGGTTTTATACGATTTCATAGTTTTTAAGTGAGTTATGAGCATTTTTAATTTGCCACATACAAACACAGTTAATGTTCTTAATATCAAATTTCATAATAGGTCGATTCACTCTAATTTTTAGACTAACGAAGCTAAACATAAATTTTCTATATTATCCACTTGTAAGACGGAGACAACAAATGGTCGTGTAGCACTGTAGCGTACTCTTAATGTTCGATCTAAAGACTGGCCGATAATAAATAGTATTTTAACTACCTAGCTGAACTAGTTCAACCACATATTGAAATGGTATCGGAAGATACAACTTTAAATTTGTTCATATGTTATGCGTTAAATGTAATGTTCTAAATTACGAAAATACACACGCGTAACAAAGCTTTGGAAAATCAGAACCCTAAAACGTAAATTTCATAGTCATAACCAAACCACTGTTAAGTGTGAAATGGATCATTATTTGTTTATTATACTGTCATCAAAGATGTCAGAATAAAAATAATGATATGTCAATAAGTGGTTGAGTATTTTTCCCCTGTATTTTAATGAGGCATGACCTAAAAAAACCTGATATTTTGTATCGTACTTTTTTCAATTACATTCCAATAAAAGAGTTGAAACTATTTATTTGTATAAAATTTTTTTCACAAGTTTTGAGAACGAAGATTTTTACAATCGATAAAAGTTTGCAATATCTATTATAAGGTTATTGATTTGAGTAAAGCGAAGGTTTTTCCGTCGTTATAATATAATGATGTGTGGGTTGTTTTTTAAATTTTTTTTTAAAATACATTTTTGGATATTGTAGAAAAGTAAAAAGATTTTTATATCAAATAAATTTACTAGAAATTTTAGCAATGGCAGAAAATTCATCGTCTGTCCTAATAGGTGGTAGTCAATTATTCATTTTACATACTTTTTATTTTTAATCTTCAATCAATTAGTTTAGGTTAACAGTTCTGCAACGAATAATGAAGACTAAACGAGCAGATATAGAGTAAAAGTACCTAAGTAAACATGCTAGTGGATATATTTCATCTGCGAGGAAAATCGAGGAATCAGAGTTACCTATATGGGTTTGTATTGTTAAATTGCGTTTCTGTATGGCAATAAACAAACCATTACTCAAAATTTGTTAGAAAAAAAAAGTTGTATCCAATCAAAAAATATATTTATGTTAACATTTAACATTTAATAGAAGTTTTTGATATTTTAAGCTTTTAATTAAAAACCTTAACAGTATTTTGAATATTTCAATTAATTTAAAAAATTTATAATATGTAACTTTTTTTGTAAACAAATCAAAACTAAATGCTCTTAACACTGTAATTATATAATCCTTAAATGTATAAATACGTGGTTGTATGTTCTTAGGAATATTTTTTTGTACATATTGTTATTTGTTGTACGATTGTATAAGATAATCTGAGGTGATGAGAATAATAATTTGACTCAAATATCTTTTAATTCGATCTAAAAATTCAGACAGTATTTAATGGTGTGTTATATAATATTATACAATATTTATATACTTTTGAGGTTAAAATATTTTATACGAAAAAAAAAAAAGGTTTCTTGAAATACGTTTGAACGTTAACAATTTAAATGTCGTATTAAAACTAAAACTATGTTCGCTATCATGTATTGAGATCGACAAACATAGATTCGCTACCACGTAATTGTTTCAAAAGCGTAAATAAAAGTTCTTATAAAACAGCGAAGTAAGTACCTATGTAGATAGACATAATAGGTAGTCAAAAAATACATTTTTTTTATACGTAGTTCCAATAAGGATCATATGCTTCACGATAAGCGCCGTAGATAACAATTTCTGTACAGGTACCTACCGACAGGTGTTTTTCTTTTCGACGCAACGAATAAGCTTTAGTAAGTCACGCAAAAATCTAAAGTAATAATATTAATAATCAGCCACGAAACCGAAACGAGTAGATATATTATATATCTATAATACCTCATAATATGCAGACGCATTTTGTACGCGTCGGATATTTTAATAGCTCGATCGCGTGACCCCGATGACCGGATAATCGTAGAGCACTGAAATGTATCCAAAAAAAAAAAAAAAAATTTGGTAAAAAATGGTGATAATTCCGCTAAAAAACATTAAAACGATTACGACTACCGACAGGATTCGAGCGAGAAAGCATAACGGCTAAAAAATATGTATTGGTAAACGAAACCGAATGTTCGCACGGAGAGAAAGTGGTGGGCGCGCGCATGGGGTTCAGTGACGGCGTCCCTATATTATACGACTCTCGATAGGTATAACCGCAGCAACATCAACTGCAGAAGCAGTGGCAGCAGATGATCCACATGCTAATTGTAACACGACTGAGGCAGAGGGAAAAAAAACACATTTGGACTTGCGAGCAACGAAACTTGTCAAACTGCATTTCTGAATATAATACGACCGAAATTTTAGCGATTGCCCCCGCGGGTCCTTTAGATGTACCTACCTATACACATATAGTATAGGTATATAATATAATGTAATATATATATATATATATATATATATAACTATATAAGTTTACTAGACTAATAAATATTTTTCTAGACACTCCTAAATGTACGCTAAACTACAATTAGTAAACGATGAAAGTCTATATAACCGAAAATATCTAATCACTATGTCTGTGTGTGTGCGCGAAACAAAAAAATACATATTATAGCAATATTATAATTGAATATTATTATTTCCGTTACAGGTATTGCAGGTATTATATATGGCGTTATCGAGTGTGCGTGTCAGTTCTATAAATGTTTTATTGCCACATTGTTTTCTCGACTGCTGCTATCCTCGTACAACCTAACCTAACCCAAAGTATTTATCTTTTGTCCTCTCCAACACAATCTGGGCTATCTATACCTATCCACTCGTATAAGGCCTACAACCAGCGAATAAATAACGCTTTCGGCGGCATTCACAGAAGATTACTTTGGGTTCCGTTCATATCTCGGATGTAACAAGACGCGTTGTAGATCATTATTTTCAGTGCACGGTATGCAAGCTTATATTTTGAAAATTTTTCTAAATTTAATAATATCAACCAGTTTACCGCTAGAGTATAGATAAATTATTGAGTTCATAATGTTATTGTTTCATATTTATTATTGGGGCACTAACTAAATAGTTCAAAAGTTAACTATTTTCAAACTTTCAAATTTAACTACCCAGTTAAACTATATTGTATTGTAATAACTTGGCTTTTTCCAATTCATATCAAAAATAATACGTTAAGTTAAAACCATGTTTATACATCAACACATATTTTTTATTAAGTCTTATTAATCAATTATTTTTCAATCACGTTTATAAACGCTTGTTTTATCTATACAAATAAACAAATAAATATTCATTGATATTAAATTATTGGCCGATTGAAAATTCCACCAATTTACAGGTAGTCGATTTTTGGGTTGGATTTATAACATGTAAATTTAACGGATACATATTTTTACCTGAAAAAAAAAATTTGATTCCACCGATACGTATTTTTGACCTGAAAACACGTAAACTCCACCAATGGTAAATCCACAGATTACACTGTTTTTAGTATAGCTACGAATCAACTTTCGACTGACTTATCTGAACTTCATCTTAAAGACCGCAGATAATACCATATACTTATATACTGACTACTCTCATATATTAACTAGTGATCAAAATTGATTATTATATATTTTATTTTAATATTGGGTAAAAAAAAATATAAGTATCTAAATATAATATGTATAACTAATAAATCTGTATATAAATTATGTAGGTACGAATTACCTACGAAATGTTAATTATTATTAACAATTTCCATTTTTTCTATTTGATTATTAAATCATTTTTTTTTAAATTATTGTATTTTAATACAATAAATATATTATATAATATATCTGTACCCAAATAAATTATGTTGTCTTAGTTAATTAGATTGGATTTGGATACTTTTATTTCAGGTAAACAAGACATACCAGTGGATTTAGCATTTTTTTTTTTTTTTGGTAAAATAAATTTACATGAAGAAAAGGCTTAAAAGGTCGCAATCAGTGGAATTTATATGAGCGTGAATTATTTAATAGACACAATTATAATATGCCTATTGCCTAAGCCACGGATGGCGGGCATGTACCGTTTCCGCCAAAATTTGAAGTGACCGATTCCGCCATCGTTCGTTTCCGCAAATCTACCTGGTATGGTAAAATTATTATAATTTTATATATTATAATATTATAATTTATTATATATTAATATTCTGTATTAATYTCAGTATTATTYGTATTATTTTTAACATGATATTTATCAAAGTTAGTACTTTTCGTTGTATTCATCACGAGTTGAATTTATTTTKTTGGTAAACTTTTAAAATATGAGTTATAACTTAAAGCATTTGTCTTAAACTTAACTTCATCGTTAACCACTCAAGTTAATAGGTTTCACTATACTTTATCGTACTCGTGATTTACATAATATCGTGTGTATCTWTATATGTCACATATTCCTGAACTAGTCAGTATTTAATAGCAAGTTGCAGATATAGGAATGACGTCGGATTAAAATTACAAATATTCAACACGGTATAATACGTGCATAATGCATATATATTATTATTATTATATTACACATTTGTATACAAATATTATACGTACAAATCGTACAATATAACTAGCAACAGTCTAGCCGGAAACGTTAGCGCTTTTAATATACCTATTATGTTTATGTATTACATATATTGTTGACTGAGGTTACAAAAGAAAAGCGAAAGTCTACGACTAGTGAGAGAGACTTTTGGTACCTATACCTATAGAATATTATGGTTTATACAAAACGGTATTATTCGCCCGTAGAAAGAGAAAATGTATTTTTAACACATATTTAATAACACATCCACACGTATGATGTGTGTGTAGTCTACATACCGTTTGACCATGTCAATAGGCCAAAACAAAAAGTATCTGAATCGTATATATTATACGCCGTTTACGTCGGAATATCATAAAAAAAAATTACGTGCACGGGCGTCGAGTAAAATATTAAAAGGTTAATGCCGCCATCGCCTTCGCTGCGCATAGAAAGCACGACGGAAGTTGAGTGATCATAATAATAATATTATTATATTATATTATATATATATATATATATATATATTGATGAATTTTATAACAGCTGTTTAATAATAATAATAATATTATTTTAGCGCTATTACGCCGGTACACAATATTATAATAATATGCAGTTTCATTTTATAGTGGATAACTATTATTATAGGTATCTAATTATTAATTGTATACTAAGTATTGATAATCTATGACCATTTAGGTTCTATATAGTCAGTCATTTATTTTCCTAAAGTACTCGAATACATGATATGTCGGAACAAACTTATATGATTAACTCGTATAAGTATAGAGATTTTTAAATTTAAATTAAATATAATTATATACTTGCAAATAAATTTTGTATGTGAACTTTCAAATTAGTTTTATATATAGGTATATACATAATGTATAATATAATATATATATATTGCAAAAAAACAACGTTATTTCGAACATACATTTTAGAATTTTACGGCAATCGCTTTAAATTGTGTATTAACTAGAACGGTTAATGTCTCTAACAGCTCAGACACGCCTATTCACATAATAATTCTCCCAAACTATGTGGTTTACTACAGTGGCCTACTCAATATCTATAAATTTCGATATTTTTAATATTTTTTATTGCTTATCATATATTTTAATTATATAGGTAGGTAGTTGGAGAGTTCGTTAATCTACTAGGTTGAAAATGATAAATTTTATAATGTTTAAAAATATTAATTAACGGTCACTAAAATATAATCCACGGCCATACGCATTATAATTATTGGTCCTCAAAAATTATCCTCTGCTAACTGTCATAATAAATATTATTTATATCTAATATGCATTGAGAATAATGTTTAAAATTCCAAATTATTTGGTTGTTGATTTTGTACATTAGTATGAAATACGATCAAAGTACAAAATCTAAGAAAATATTTAAGTTCTCAACATAAGTTGTATACAATATTTTTACTTCAAACATTAAACTGATCTAAATTATTTAAACAATTAGACATTAGTATATATTTAATGTGTATTATATATCTATATACTACCTAAAATAAAGCTTACGATTTAGCTAACTACATATATTATATATTATATGAACAGACAAACTGTTAATGTTTATTAGTTAAAAAAAAAAAAAAATTACAAAAGTTAGATGGTAATAATTCTTACCTTACGTCGGGATGAATGAATAATCAATTGTAATACACTTATAGCCCAGGGCCTAGTAGCACGTGACTGGTAGTCTGTCAATGAAATATTACTTGGAAGCGTATAGAAAGCATAACATCGCTCAGTATGAGGTAACCTACATAACTGTGCGTGTGTACCACTCAAATGTGAATTGTAATGCTGTTATATTTTAATACCTAACCCTAACCGGTTATCAGCGCCAAGCGGTCTGGTAATCAGATGATAGATACGACCAACCAATCCATTAATAACCATGTTAAAAACGAAACAACTTGTGCAAGTTATTTAAATRCGAAAATACAACTCTCGGTTGTCGCCACTGTGTCTGGCATAATAAAGAATTTCGACAATCAAAAAAAATTATCGAACTATAAAATGAAAATTAGATGTGAAAAAATTAAAACTGTTAATTTATATTRACAATTTACTGTCAAAGTTGTATAATATTATGTTCGTTGAACTCTTAACGAGTTGAATGAATGAATATTTTAAAGCTTTGATCATTTATTACTATATAAACTAACATCATGACAAGTATTTTTGTAAACATTGATTGTCTATGATAACTGATAAGTGATTCAAATGAAACGAAGTAGTTAAAAAAAAACATTCTGTGATTGAACATTATCATGGCGAGCTTATTAATACTTTAATGTATAAACTCATTAATATGTTATTCATATATTATCTTCATTTAMGTATAATATAAAAATCAAATAATTAATAAGAAACTATACCTACTTATGTAATAAAACGTAATAGGTAAAGTACTCTTAATCCAAACCTTAAAATAGTTAGATAATTAAATCAAATAATACAATAAAAAAACAAAATAAATTATGTTTTTTATCATGCTATAGACTGCATTTAATCATATACGATATACCTACTTACTATTAATTATTATTATTGTAAGACACTAATCTGGTTGCACTATTATATAGAAACTGTTGATAATATTCAGCGTTAGTCATGTCACTGTTTCCGATTCTACGATTTACTAAGAAAATAAAAAAAATACTTTCCTACAAATAATATATATCAATAAAATTATTATTATTAATAACGAAAATTATGTTGTACAATGTTCGCCGATGCAATGCGAATATATTAAATAAAATCTTATTTTAATGCAATATTGCATATTATAAATTATAAATTATAATATATATGTATATATATATGTCAGGTAAGCGTTTAGTACTCATGTTCTGTAATGGTTGTTACATTGTAAATACTATCTTGTAACAAATAAATTATTTTAAATGTGATTTTTTTATCTGCCAGTATATGTATAATATATAGGGTTATTCAAAAAAAAAACAGTTACGAATGGTTATAAGTGATAAGTGATAATTGATACATAAAATAAAATAATAATACCTACTGTAAATTTAATTTAATTCGTGACACTTATAAAATATGTTCTATGATATGCCATGCCTTGCCTAAGTTACACGAACAATATATATTATATTATCGACGTTGTYAGATATATGCTGTGCACTAGAACCGGCATACCCGTTGTAATTGAGTCAATTATGCTAATAATTGTACGCGGAACAAGCAATTTGTTTAGATATTTGACATTTKACTGTCAAAAATAAAATAGTCACGTGGAGTATGATCAGGCGACCAATATCAGGCTAGTTTTCATGCAACAGATGAACCATATTGATAATAACCCCTGTATTTCATTATATACCATTTATTTGCTTACTTTGAAAAACTCCTTAAATACTGGTTTTTTTGTTTTATTTTTATAGTGTTATTTTATTTTCTGAGCAAAAAAAGTGATAACAAATTTAATACAAATAATTTACAATTATTGTATAAAATAATATACAATAAATTCATTACGTCGTACTCTCGTACCTAACCTATGTATATTATGTAATAGGTGTATGTTTATTAAATTTTTAGTATATTCTAATATATTATGATCATGGTAATTTCACTAGGGCTAGGTAAATTGAGTCCCGGGAAAAACAAGTAGTAAGTAAATATTTTGACTTATGTTAATCTATATTTATATATAGAAATAATATTTAGA